AAAATAAGTCCATCTTCAGAAAACGTCAATAGGTCATCTAACCAAATTGGTTAGATGACCTATTGACGTTTTTGTTAACATGAAGATGGACTTCCAGAGGCTACCTCACCATGTATACCTTTGAAGTAGAGGCTATATTTATTCCCAAAAGGTATCAAACGCCAGCTACTGATCAAATCTTTTCTATCACTTTTTTAAAGTTTGTTTCGTGTTTTTAGTCTTCACGTACAGAGACTTAAATCTTTGTATTAAATTGTTAGCAATCATAAATCGTGGACAGAATCTTCCACAAAAGATAAATACAATATAGTTTAACACCCTAGAACTCCTTAAAAAAAATATGTTTTGTTAAGGCTTCGTCATAATGTTAAAAATACTCAATACAACAAATTCATTAATTTTACATACTAGCTGTGTGCCCGTTCTACGCACGGGGATCTTATTGTAGTCAGTTATTATTGAAACATTTTTATTAAGAACAGAATTTGGTTTCCATATTTTCAGATATGCTGGCAAAACTATTATATATAAACCTTCGCAAATACAGTATCTGACAGTTTCAAGCCAAAACAAATGCTTCGAAATTAAATGTAACCTGGGTCGTGTTGGTCCATATGTTAAATCCAATGATTAAACTAAAAAATGCTTTATAGATCTATGAGGCATAGCCCTAATGTAGGCACATAATTGAAAGTTACATTCCACAATGGTTAAAGTATTTAAGGTACCTCAACCTCCCAATTTAACACTTTATTCGTGTTGACATTTTCATTATAAAGGTACTTTTGTCCTTTCCGTGAAACACTGAGAAATAAGGACATTAATGCTTTACTTACAGACATACACACAAAAATACAGAACTTAATTAGGGGATTTGCTACGGTTTAAGCATAACAAAGTACTTGTAAAATTAGTATCTGAAATATTATGTCATCAAATTTCATCATAACAATGTATATTTGCTTGGACCGATGATGACCCGAAATGACGGCTTACTATATGAAATGAAGTACTATAGACGATTGGTAATTTATAATAAATATTACCAAAATAGGCCACGAACTATTGATGGCCATAAACAACGTAAAGCGTTTAAACAATTCATTATGGTTTGCTGAATAAATGTTTTACTAAAATGCGTTATCGTTTTCTTAGCATAAACTAACATTTTGGAATCAAGAAAGAAAAAGCCAAAATTGTACAGTTAAGACATCAATCAAATTGAATACGCCTGTAATAATAAATAAGGTGCAACACCAACGATAACTAATTTTTAAAGTACAGTGATGTGTTTTTGGTACTTAAAAATTATTCTTACTACTACCAACAGTACCAACGGTTCTAAGGAATAGAACCGGAACCAAAAACCAACGTTCACAGTTGATACAGTAACTATAGTACAGCCGACCAATTATATGAGTTAATCAAGTCCCGAGGTTATTGATCTCTTGGTTTTGGATTTTCTCGTAAAACGTTTTAAAACGACAATCAAAGTTATTTCCCATTAATTGCTTTATTTGTAAACAACTTTTAATGTAAACTTATCGGTGTCAGTTTGAAAAAAAAACAACATCATACAAACAACTTTTTGTTATTTAATAGATTACGTACCTATTCTCTAAACAATGATTGGTAAAGGCTATCTAATAACATTAGAAGGAAATGTGACAAATATCACACAACGTTGGGTTTTTGGACGTTTGTAATTTTATTTCTTAAGTAGGTAGGCCGTGTATTCTAGGGAAAAGTACCGGTATCAAGGATCGCCGTCGAACAGTTTGTTATGAATAATTGGGTAGGCGTACGTACCCAAGAGATGGGCTATGGGCCTATTGGCTGTATGGTCCAGCGATTACATCACACGGTGAGTAGGTACTATTGACTATACAGGGTGTTTTTTTTAAAAACTTGCATCTTTATTTATGTAAAAACCGCAATAGATAGAAATATGCAGTTTGCGGGAATCATCTATTGACGTAGGGGGACCAATTGTTTTGAATTCAACGTTACATTCACATTCCCCCCCCTTTCCACCCCCGGCCCCCAACTTATTTTTTTTAAATAGCAAGGTACCCCTTGTGACATATCAAATAAAAGAGCATAAAAAAAGAAAATGTTTGATGAAAAAAAATTGAAAATCGGTTCATAAATTTGTGAGATATTCCCCCCCTCACCCCCCCGGAACTTAATTTTTTTTAACAGCAAAGTACCCCTTGTGACATATCAAATGAAAGAGCATGAAAAAAGAAAATTTTTGGTGAAAAACATTTAAAATCGGCTCATGAATTTGTGAGATAATCACCCCCCTTTTCCCCTACCCATAACTTGTTTTTTAATAGCAAGGTACCCGCCCTTGTAACATATGAAATGAAAAATAAATTTCGCCAAAATGTTTCTTTTTTCATGCTCTTTCATTTGATATGTCACAAGGGGTACTTTGCTATTAAAAAAAATTAAGTTCCGGGGGGGGGGGGTGAGGGGGGAATATCTCACAAATTTATGAACCGATTTTCAATTTTTTTCATCAAACATTTTCTTTTTTCATGCTCTTTTATTTGATATGTCACAAGGGGTACCTTGCTATTTAAAAAAATTAAGTTGGGGGCAGGGGGGGAAAGGGGGGGAATGTGAATGTAACGTTGAATTCAAAACAATTGGTCCCCCTACATCAATAGATGATTCCCGCAAACTGCATATTTCTATCTATTGCGGTTTTTACATAAATAAAGATGCAAGTTTTTAAAAAAACACCCTGTATATATAGTCAATGGTAGGAACAGAAAATAACACATTAGAAAAGCGAGTTTAGCATCATCCGTAAACCTCTGTTACAATCACCCCCTGCAGTTGTGATTTTTTACTTTACACTTTACACAACCGCCATTGAAGCGCCGTGTCAATGAGTGGAAACCATATTTCTAAGCCATTTGGCGACGATCATTATTAAATTTAAAGTTTCCCAGCCGTATACAACACTGATTCAAGGTCTTCTTTCTGGTTATCAAAACTCAAGAACAATTTATACACAAAGAATCTCTGGTTCCTGAACTGGATGATGCCTAGTTATTTAATTTCATTTACACGGTTACACTATTACACTATATTATTGCACTTTCGATTAATTAAATCGGTTATGTAAGAAAAACGTTTTTAATCACTTGGGATTTACATTCAAAACGTGATTGAAAAAGGTTGCGGTATTTGTAAACAACATTTGTAAACATATCAGTGACAGCTAGGAAAAATAATCTTGATCCGAACAGCTGTTCGTTATTTCATAGATGATTATGCAATAAAAATTGGACGAAAACTTGACATAAATCGCACAAAAGTACATTTTTGAACGTTCGTAATATTATTTACAAAGTAGTGAGGCCATATTTTAATGGCTTAAGACAATCTCGCCAATCCAGTGAATACATTAAAATGACTTGGATCTTGTTAGGTACTCTCGTTTTCCAGGAGAAGATAGCGTAAAATGCCATCTTGAGTGTTACAGACAAAGGGACAGACAGACAGACAGACAGACAGACAGAAATTGAGATAAGACTCGTTTCTGCTTATTTAATGTATAAGACGTAAAAATAACCTAAAAATATATAATTCTGAGCAATGTACAGACAAAACTCTAATTTTATTTATATAGATAGATGTAAACGTTGATAGTTGTGTGCGTATTGTATTTTAATATATTTTCTGTATACATATAGTCCTCTATATTTTCTGTGTACACAAATGCTTCTGTATACACTTTTTTTGCAACTCACAGTAACTGAGAAATATTCTAAACTGGTGAACTGTTTTTATAAATTTTTGCCATTATTTCTCAACCCGTGCTTAAAAAATTGATGACTCGTGGATAAATCCAGATACAAAATTTAATCTAAATCGGACCACAGGTTTTGTCTGTAGCTCTGTATCTGGATCATACAAGTGTGTATTATATAACCTGATATTAGTCAAAATATTTTTTATTCTATAACGTTTAATTTAATTAAACATAAAAGTCATGCTCCCTCCATTTTTAAAGTATTCAGTCCAAAAATGTAATAAATTTACTTGTGCATACATATTTATTTCGTTTTAATAAATAATTGAGGTGATGCAATACACTTATGTAGGCAGTCGCAGCAGTCGAAGCCGGGCATAGCGCCTAGAGTTTCACGAACGCAAACCGCGCAACGAGTAGCTAAATGAGCCGTAGAGTAAGTGAGCCATCTAATATTTTGAAGAGGGTTCACTTACTCTACGGATCATAGTGCCAATGAACTGTAGAGTAAGTGAGCCATCTAATATTTTTCTGCAGGCTCGTATAGTATACGAGCCTATTCCTATAATTTATATTATTCATTATTTTGGCTCGTATACTATACGAGCCGATTCCTGAATTATCAAATAATTCGTAAGCTTGGCTCATTGTCACTATGATCTGTAGAGTAAGCGAACCTTCCTACTGTATTTTTAAATATAATACACGAGGCTCATAGGCACAATGATTTGTAGAGTAAGTGAACCCTCTTCATTTATTTTTTATTTTCGATAGGCTCGTATAGTATACGAGCCTGTAGTGCAAGTGAACCTTCAATATTATTTACAAAGCTCGTATAGTCTATGATCTGTAGAGTAAGTGAGCTGTCCCCGTTCGTTTGTGGCAACAATCTGCCACTTCCCTCAACAGGAGGAGGTGTGTTGGCCTAAAGGCCTGTTGGGCATCTTGTCCTGTCGCAGGTTTGCGAAGTAGTGGCAACCAGCCACCTGTTCTGGTACCATAGATAAAACATACTCCTCAAGGATTTATGCTGGTGCGTTATCAGGGGAGCTCCTTGACGGGAGTGAGCACACCAACCTGAAAATTCAGTCATTTTGGCATTTAGTGTACCTCGAGGCTGCATGGATTCTTAAAAAGCCATAGTCATCGGCAACAAAAAAAAAATAAAAAAAACTTGTTCAAGAAATTGTGAGATCAGACGAGACAGAAGAGTGAGTGAGCAAGGAGAGGAGAATGATAAGTAGGGGGAGAGATTGGAGAGAAGGATTTTAGGTTATGTCATATAAACATCCAAATTAATAGACCTATTTTTTATAGTTTATACTCCGGCTCCTACAAGTAAGAGTGAATTGGATAATCTTCATTTTTAAAGCATTGAAATATTTTACCAGTTTTAGGTGAGGCTAAGTTATTTTCTTTGTTAATATAATAATTTTTAGTTCTTGAACAGATAACCTCAATTATTGCCATTATTTTTAAATTTAAAACTGAAACACCGTGGTTGTCATTATAAGCTTGATATTAGATTTAATCAATGGTTGTATCTTTTATGTATTTGGTACAACAATTAATGGTGTATTCACTTTAAATTTTCTTTTAAGTTAGGCCTAATGGATGATGGCAAGTTAACTAGGGGAAAAAACTGGCAAGTTAACTAAAACTTAAATGGTCTTGTTAAGTTGATTATTGAGGGGAATTGGCGGCTGCACTTTACTTGACGTCCTACACTCATTCGATTGTTTTTTTCGATTCGATATTTTCATTCGATATTTCGTTTGGTTAGTTAGGTTAGGTTAACCTTACCTAACTAACCAAACGATATATCGAACGAAGCAACCGATTAATCGATATTATCATTCGAATGAGTGTAGGACGTCAAGTAAAGTGCAGCCGAATTGGCTTGGTTCTTGCCAATGTATTAAGAATAGAAACCCTTGCCGACAGACCGCCACCGCCCACCACCACCTACCACTGCTCGAGCGAACACCATTACGGCAACGATACATTGTACAGCCACTGGTCTCGGTGTTGTAGTGGATATCGCACCGGGCTGATAATTTGAAGGTAGCCGGTTCGAAACCCACCGGAGGCATTAACTTTTTGACTAGATTTTTTTCATTTCTAGGAAGTTTGGTTGGTTTGGTTAGGTTATGACAGTTAAATTAATTTAAATTTAACCTACAAACGATACGTTTTTACAGCGACAGTGATAGAAATAACAATTTCCCACACACAGTTCGGCTACGCACGGTATGATGCGTTCTGCATGGCCCGGTGGTGGGCGGTGGCGGTCTGTCGGTAACGTCTCGTATTAAGAATGGCTGGGCTATGAATGAGCATCAATAGTCAATATTTTTGAAACATCAATGTTTTTCCATCGATGTTTTGCACAACGATGGCGGGCTAAGTTATGACACTGATTTTTTTGTGGAACATCGAAGTTTTTGGTTAATTATCGAAATATCCACGTTATCAATTACAAAATGTGTTGGTTTTTGTAATAACTAAATGGAAAATTAAAATTTATTTTTGTCTTAGAAAGTAAATTTTTGTAGGCCTACCTATTAATTCTATTGAAAGCCTGATGAAATATCTTAAGTTACCTTACCTAGCTAGCAACAGCAGGTTTTTGGCCTCTTCAACAGCTCTGTGCCATCTTTCTCGGTCCTTTATCTACTCCTCTGGTAATGGACATTCTTCTCATATCCCTCCGGACTTGGTCCCACCATTGCAGCCTTGGGCATCTTAAAGGTCTTCTTCCTACATGTACAGCATCCGTCACTGTTCTTAAGACTGACTCTTTAGGTCTCCTGTAGACATGTCCTGCCCATCGAAGTCTTTGGCTTTTAATTAAGGCAGTAATATCCGGATCTTTGTAGACATAGGCCCTAATTCTTTATTTGTTCTAATCCTCCAAATTCCTTCTTCTTCAATTGGGCCATATATTCGTCTGAGAATTTTGTTTTAGAAAATTATTAGCTTCTTTTCATCTTGTTTGGTTACTAGGCCTACCCATGTTTCAGATCCGTAGGTAGGCCTAATTATAGGCAGTATAGTCTTATAGACTTTGAATTTGGTTTTACTGGATGAAATTTTACCTTAAGTACTCGCGGGGGGGGGGGGGTACAAAACACCCTAGCGTTCGAAATTTTGTGTTATTTCCAAACATAGGTTAGCAACGCAGACCAGTAGTTCAGTACCTTCAAGCTAGGGTGCAGGCTACCTGTCAAAATGGTTTTCGTCAGTATCCCATCGGTCTCCGAGGGGTACAGTCACGTCAAAACTCTTCTGGGATACTCAGACAACCCGCGCGATCACTTGTGCATTAGTTGCAATTTTATTGGTGTGATCCAAAGTCCCCGTGCGATCGCTAGTGTTCACTTGGTAATAGGCCTACATTATTTGTATTACCAAGTATGGGGTGTTTTCATCTCCCCACGTGAGTGTTTACGTTTTTCGTAAAAAGTGCAAGTTGCTGTATAAGGTTTTTTTTCTTTTTGCAAATGACTCTAAAAGTAATTAAGGGAAGTTGTTTATTTACATTTATTTCAATAATAAACAAGTGTTTTTGACATGCCGGTTTAAATAAATTTGTTTGCACAAAACTTGTTTGTATTATGATTTTCCCCCCAAAAAACCCTATTTTTTAGTTGTAAATTTTAGTGCAAAATGATAGCTTTTAAACCATTCCACAGACATAATATAATCTTTTAAAAATGTTATATTATCCGGGTAGTACATATGCTAGTTATTCAATATCAAACAATTTAATGACAAAATACACATTTTTTTAATACAAAAATGGTTTATATGCAAAACTTGACCAAATACACCACAAATTGCAGTTGGTAAAAGAAATATATTTTTTTACGTTGTATAATTTAAAATAAATAACTCTTTCATATTGGAACAGTAATAAACTTAAATAATGGCAAAAAATGTTATTTACCAATTATTAGTGCTAATAAAATTTATAACAAATATATAATAATGGGGTGTCAAAAACACCCATGAGTACATACGTTACTGAAACCCGTGCGAGTAGTTAAGGGGTAAAAGGTTTTGCAAGGACCAGTAACATTTGTCACCACTGAGCAGTCGTGATTTAATTTCAGTTCCTTCTGTAATATATTTAGTTCAATAATTATTCCTAGATATTTAAATTCTGTACATCGTTGGAAGGAGTAGGATTCTACTATTAGAGGAAGATTTCTTTGGGGTATATTTCGTCCTACTATTAGATGTACTTTGTTTTATTTTTGTTAATTGTTCTGCATATATTTCTTTTGCTTTCCTTGTGTGAGTTCCTGCTAAAACTTTTAAATCACTTTCATTTTCTGCCATGAGCGCAATTTCATCAGGATAAGCTAGAATTTTTATCTTTCTCCCTATCTCCAGCCCAGGTTTGAATTGGTGAACTTTTCTGATGAAATTTTGAATCCAAAATATCACGAAGGTAAGAGTGAGAGAAAATATCTACAATTTAAATATGTGCTTGTTCTTAATGCAGCCAGAATTTTCATTTGTAATAAAAAAACTTCAACGGCAGCATTCCTGCTTCAGCATAATGAATTAAGACCGGTAATTTGCCTTGCAGTTGTGAAAGAGAAACTACCGTTCCTAATCTAGAATGTCTATATATTTAGCTAGGTTCCTAAGTTAATCAGCTGACACAGAAAGCAGATAAAAAACTCAAAATGAAAAAAAAACTTTTGATTATCGATTTGTTTACCTTGAAAACATCAATTTTGATGTCCTGAAAAAACATCAATGTTTTCGCGACGATTTTATCAGTACATTGATGGTCAATACCGATGTTACCTTGATATATATCGATGGTCGTTATCAATATCGATGGTGAACATTGATGTTTTCCTATCGATGCTCATCCCTAATTGGTAGCTGAGTGGTTAAAGTGCTCGCCTGACAACCAAAGTTTTGCTGGTTTGATCCTGAGAAAAGTCAGTAGCTTGTTGATGGTTCGAAACTGGACCCAAATGTCCCTGATCGTTGTGCTCTAAATAAATAATTCTGACTGATAAAACAACTTATTTTAACCAGTAACGAAGCTACACAGATCATCTAATACCATTCAACACTCATCATCCTTCATTCATATTTTGGGTTAAAATACGCACCTAGGTGGCGTCTACTAGAATAAATACTCTACTAGCAGAGTACCCGTCCTTCGTACGGGGTTGGCAAGTAAGTATGAATGCAGTTCTTTGCGTTTGCATTGTGAGAAGGACATGGTTTGAGAAAATTTGCTTCCTCAAATTTTTACGGTATGCTATAGTATTACACATCTACCATAGCCATAATGTTCTACCACTTCACCTACACAATAGAAAAAGATAGATTATTGAAAATTCGCAAAATATTACAAATTATTCATGAAATTAAAAACATAAACATAACTGTAAACAATCCTACTTTGACAGTTCTCATTGCGTATCACAGTTTTATGTTGCTGAAAAATGTAATAGTGCTGCACCCTGTGGGTAAATCTTATAAATGTGTAATGCTTTTGCATATCATAGAACCAACTCTTTTAGTTGAAACAGCTGGCTAATTTTTTTGATTCCCTTTAAATATGAAAACTCATAAGGATAACATTGGGAACTGCAGAGCCACTGGGGCAGAACCCGAAAGTATTTTTGAGATAAGAATATGCCTATATGTTAATCGGGAATGTGAGCTATCATCATGCCAAATTTTAGCCCAATCCGTCCAGTATTTTTCGTGTTTACTTGTCACAAACATACACATCCATACATTTAAACTTTCTCATTTATAATATTAGTAGGATTATGGTAGCAACTGTACCTAGTTAGACTATCTTCAGAGGATATAAAATACAAACAACAAAACAGCCGACTGTAAAAAAACCTTTCCTGTAAGCTGACATTAAATACCACCTGTCAATGATGATTATAGCCTATGAAAAAGAATGTTGGCTACTCTACTTACATTTAATCAACTTACACTTATATTGAATTAACCAATCTACCAGAGTGTAGTATAAAGTTTTTAATTTGTTTCAGGTGAAACACAAGAACTCAGGCACTGAATAACGACGTGGGAAACAAAATAAATATTAGGCTAATTTAAAAAATTTAGTTTTTCCGGCAACTATAATTAGTATGCTATTGGGGTTAAATAAAGACATTCAACTTAATTTAGACGATTCCCATAGCCTATTGTCATCCGGAAAGGGAATAAACACAATGATCAAAAGAACGTTTTAAATTGTTATACTTTCCAAATTTAAACAAAACTGGGTTCAAACTTTAGTAAATAGAAATTTATTTTTAAATGTTCTTTACTTTGGTTACTCTTTGTCAAATCATTCCTGTAATCAAATTTCTATCTGAAAGAATATCGATAACTAGTAAATATTGTGCAAATGTTGGCAATACAGATATGTCCTGATAAGTAAAACTAGTTTTTTTACCAACAGTTATTAATTATGAATCACAACTTAATGTGCAACAGAATTCTCTGCTGTTTTAGATTAAGATTTTATAACTTTTCTAAAACGCTTGCCACAAAATATGAAACCCACACTTTATCGCAGTTTAGTCCTACGACAAGCAATTTTCCCAAAAGATTTCACTGTTCACCTGAAAGGTTTAACGAGGAATCAATAGAAGAGACTGGGGAACCAGAAGACTTGCTTTCACCTCAAAAAAGTATCATCTTGGAGGACTACTCTGAACAGTTCCGCAACACACTTTATCCAGAGTCAGACGATCCGTTGATATCTCAGTTGAAATCCTGTGATTCAATAAAGGACCTTTTCTCCACTGTAAATAGACATAAAGGAACTTTGACTCCATCACACTACTGTCAAGTATTGCTAGTTTTGTACGATATACTTCATGTCAACAATTGTCTCACATTTGGGGCCATTGTGGCTAACCTACCTGAGAGTATAAAAAGTGAACTACCTGAACCTCTCTCTTCAGTTATCTTAAACATATTAGACGTCATAAAGGATAATGTAGACCGACTGAGTGCCGATGAACTTGTTTGTTGTTTATTGTACTCAAAAAGATTGGGCGTAGACATAAAACACCCATCAGTCCAAACTATTTTGACAAAAATTGACCACATGTTACTAAACCAAGATGCTGAATCGTTTTCAATATCTGCTTTATCAAGACTAACAGTTGTATTGGACAATCGAAATGAATTGTGGACGAAATTGTTTCTAATCAAAACATTACCACTTATTCATAGTCACTTTGGTAAGTACTGTACAATCTTAATTTTTAACTTAGTAAGTTAATACATTTTAACTAGTTAAAATTATACGTTAATATCCTAATTTCTCCAACTCTGCTTTTCAGTGCTTACAATTTATGTACTGGTAACACTAGTTATGGAGTGATTGATTAATATTTTAGTCTAAATGAGACATCTCAAAAAGAAAAATTAGTTTATCGATAAACCTTCTCCTAAGGGCTTGAATCTTAGTTAAAGAGTTTTATTTTATCACATTTAAATATTAAAATTTAATATTACATAATGTAACAGCTGATTAATATTTAATACGAACCAGCTGTTACATTTGTTTTCATTCATAGGCGTTTCTTTACTTTTTCTCCGAGTTTACCTTTTGATTCCTATAGATTTTCCATTAACATGAAGGCATAAATTTCCATTACAAAGTTATTAGTTTTGATTCTGACACCCAGCCGATTGCAAATGCACAAACCAGATCTTCATTGAAATGAACAATAATAAGTACAATTCAGCAAATTTGCCGTGTGGATTCTCTACTGGTGATTGCAGGGTAACATGGTTGCCACCCGTCCCGATTCTTTTGGGACAGTCCCAATTTCGGTCCCTTGTATATTAATATATTGTCACTGTTTTATTGCAGACAGATGTAGGAATGCTGATGAGTTTAAAGCACTCACAATCAGCATGCTGTCAACAGTGAGTTATCTGAGAGAAGAATTACTCATGGATTATGAAGCACTAACTGAAGAGTTTCTACGGAAAGGAATAATAACTAAAGAGAATCGGTCAGTGATTGTTAAAGCCATTATGCTGTTAAACCATGTATATTACCATCCTGCTGCTCGGCATATGACGTACAAACTTCTTCACATGCTACATGGCCAGTTTCATGAAATGTTTCTCCCCCATCTTTCAGAAATTCAAAAGGTACTTTTTGACAAGTTAACTGGTAATGTTTAGCTCAAATAACCATTTCCCCCAACCTGTCCTTATGTAACATTCATTTATCGGTTTTATAGTAGTTAAACACGTTCGCTGCAATGGACGTCCCGGAACGTCAGTGGGACCATGGCGCCAGGAGCTAGAAACGTTCCGGCACGTCACCGTTCATTGTTGTTAAATGTTTCCATGGATCAGCCTGCTCATCACGAGCGTCCTATATTTCTTTGCAGCTCGTGGGGACGTACTTTTATGACAATAGTTTCCCAAAATCACCACCAGGGTCGTTTGAACAGGGCTTTGTCCCACCTCTTTTCTGCTAGATAGCAACACTACTTTAGGAACTGCAACCTGGGTAGTGCTGCTATCTATCAGAACCGCTTAGTACTATGTCCAAAACCAGTTTTATTGCAGAACCTTGCTTTCCAGTATTAACTACTGTTGTTTTTACTGTAATTCAGCGGGGATGTTACGCAGCGAGCCCTAGTTTAGCTCCTGGCACAGTCGCGGCATCTAGCAGTTGGCAGCGAACGGGTTAAAACAATAATTATACAGTGAAAATGGTTATTGTGTTTGAACTGTTTTTAATTTCAAAATCTATCATTGAAATTAAATATTGTTTTATTATAGTTCCTAGTTCCAGAGCCTAGTCATGGCCCTACCAGAAAAACAGGCCATGCTGCAGGATCCATGACGTCACACTTGTGGATACATTCACTGCCATATCCCTTATGTTTTAGGTAAATAAGCTAGCTGTTTGTCAGATTTTTACGGTAAGATTTTAGTACAACTACCCACCACAGTGACTTAGTGTTGCGATGCAGCATGGCCTGTTCTTCTAGTGGGGCCTTGGCCTAGTTTGTGTTCTCTTGGTTAAAATTAGGAGTTTTATTGTTTTGTGGTTACAAATTATATTATATCAAACATTTATTTTTCAAGCAAACCTATAACCTATATCCACCTATACTAATCCAGTATAGTGTCTGAAATAAATTATGATGATATGAGTGTAAAAATTATGGATTAGATTGAAGTACTCTACGTAGATTGAAGTCATAGTACTGACTACCTACATTAAAAGTATTTTTCAGTATTTATTATATTTCTATTTGCAGTATTTGTTATCAAATAAATACTGCTCTTTCTGATTTGCCAGTTACGAATCATTAAGTTATTATTGACTAATTTTTTTTTAAGGTTCTACAGCAGCAAAAAGAACCGCATGACACCATTATGTTGTTAAATAATTTCAAGAAAAAGTCAACATTTTTACCAAAGCATGATGATGCAAATTTACATTTCTACCTACCTTTGTTGAATTTATCTACAGATGCCAAAGGATCTCAATTTATGAAGGTAAGCATTAGAAATACGTGGATGAAAATCTACATTCAAGATGAATTTTAAAACCTTAATAGGGGAGACTTCCGCAGAGAACCTACGATATAGTATCGGATGAATAGTGATATATATAGTTTTTTAATCCGGTTCGATAATAACATTGGAATGATTTAACCCTTTGCGGTCGAATGGCGAGTATAGGTCGCCGCCCGCCATTTTGCTGACTGCTCAAAAATGGCTACCTACAAGGACCAAAAAAATCAAAAAAGTTAATTTTTTTGGTCGAATGGCGAGTATAGGTTGCTGGGCGCAATTTTCCTGGCTGATTGAATGGCAAGCTAAATTCGCCAGAAAATGTGGAAAAAATTCGACCTCAAAAAGGGTTAAATAAATTTTAACATATGATTTTTAAATAAAAACAAAAACAATAACATTGACGAATCTTTTCATTTCTTATATCCCTTGTTTCCTATCAAATAGTTTATTCATCTTATTCCTTCCACCTTAAAATCGGTTTCATAAGAGAAAAGGCATATGGGGAAGCCAGGTCAGGCTTTATGAGGATTTGTGACTACGTCCTTTGAAGGTAGGTTGGATTAAGTAAGTTAAAGTGTAGGTTATATGCAATCGGTTTGTTTATTGATGTTACACCCATATTGTTTTTTTATCTTTTGGGATAGCATTTTTGAAATTGTCTCGTCATTTAATCAACAATTACAAAAGATAAAATCAATATGGGTGTAATATCAATAAATAACCCGATCGCCTATAACCTACACTTTACCTTCTTAATCTAACCTAACTTCAAAACACTTAATGCAGCCACGGATCCGCATAAACCCCGACCTGACTTCCCTACATGCCTAAATAAGATCATTCATTCATTGTTTCATTTTCAACTGAAGTAGATCCGTATCACTACTTCTTGTTCCTTGGTGTGGTGTGTGATTTGCCCCGCGTTAAGAAAGTAGTTCCATCTATTTCCGCACCTTGAAAAATGTTTTAAAGTTATTTTATTGTTTATTAGGATCGTGAAGATTTAGAAGAAAAAACCAGAAGTTCAAAAATACACATTATTAACTAGTAAACTTAAACAAACCAATTTGAAATTCGATAGTTACAATAGAAAAAAAAGATTATAATCGATATATCAAAACGAACATCGAAACAAACAAGTTTCGTTATTTATCGTTATTCATCTGATAATATAACGTAGGTTCTTTGCGGAAGTCTACCCCCTTAATATTCATCAAACTGTTTTTGGCTCGTGTAAATAGAGAATAGGGGGTAATGAAACATATTGAAAGTATGAAAAATAAATAGGCTGTAGGAGAAGAAATGTAAAAAAATGTTTTAGAGCGCAAAACAATTTTATAATTGTTAAATTGCAGTTAAATTTAGAATTTAAAACAGTTATAACAAGGATCAACAAAAAATCTGTTTAATTTTTTTTTTCACAATTTTATTTACAATCTGTTCATTTTTAGAACATTTAGCAAATACAATAACAACTTTTAATAAAACGTTAGTTAATCTCTGTCCATTGACAGAGCTAACTTAAAAATATTTCAATGAAAAAATAAATGTTTAATTGAGTTACTTTTTATACAATCTTAAATACCCAAATGAAACTTTGTTTTTGGTACAACTGGTGTGCCTAGCAAAAAATTGTCCATTGTCCGCAAATGAAGATATTTTGTGTTAAACTTAAAAACAAGGTTTTAGTTAAGTTACACACCCAACGATGGAGTGACCTTCAAAACTGCTGTAGTGCAGTATTACCACTGATTGTGAAGCCAGGAAGGACCAAATATATGTTTATGTAAAAATTCTCATTATGTGGGTAAACACAATTAAAACTTAAACATAACTAATATCCAATCAAACGTTTATGATTGTTATTGACTGTTGGTGTGATATCGCCAATTGTTTGTTCAGGAATTGATAGCGAAAAGCAACAATCTTGATATTCTACTGAACCTCCAAACCCACCTGACAACTGCAATGCCTGATGTTTGCAACATGTTCTGGTCTAAAGTGGCAGAGATGTTGGGGTCATCAACTCCATTAGACGTCTCAACACTCATAAGAATCCTCTTCAGGTAAATTAAAACTCTTCTTCGCTTTACAAACTCTTTATATCCTATCATGTGTCAACCTACAAATACTTCGGTGTTGTAATCTATCCTTTGTCAAACCTCATGATCTTATTCTAGCTGATCTACTTATGATTTTTTGTTGCATACATCTAAAAAAATTTTGTTATGGAAAATTAAGAAAAGAAAATTAAGATAGTTTTTGAGCATAAATCTATAAACTGTGTTTGGCTATTTCTATAAAGAATACAAGGGCTATCCAGGAAGTAAATTGTGTTTGTATCGACAATGGGTAGAGCTACAATGGCTGTTTAAAATATCTGCCATTAAAATCAAATAGTCGGCAAATCGAACACAAGAATTTCTGAAATCTTTCAATTGGGAGTTATTTCCTTATTCACCATACAGTCTGGACCTTGCAGTGAGTGACTACCACTTGTTTCCTTGAATAAAGAATTGGTTGGCGAAGAGTGTTTCAATAAGGATACACAGGAACAAGAAGTAACGAGTTGGTTGAAGAACAAGCAACGGCATTTTATGAGGATGGAATTGTCAAACTCATTCATCACTATAAGTTTGCAAATTGTAATGGCAACTTTAATGTAAACCATTATTTACGTGAAGCTTTTAACTTTGTTAAGTATACTTTGTTTACTTTTAATTCCAAAATGCAGTCTACTTTCTAGCTAGCCCTCATATTATGTGATATTAGTATCTAATAAATATTGTTTAAGACTGAGCGTTTTGTTCTTGTATGATTATCCATAATATTGTTGTTCATCTTTTTAACGTAGGTACTTGAACTTCTCCAATCGCATGGTGACGTACCACCACCGTCAGTTTGAGTCTGTGGCTCTACTATTGGCTGCTAGAGAGCTAGTGGATGGCACGACTGTGATGCAGCCTAAGAAGTTTGCGCTCCTTGCCTACTTTGTGTTGACAGTGGATACTGATAGTGGAGTGGCCAGTCTGTCTAACGATGTTTTGTCTCGTCTTCTTGTTGTCATTAGTCAGCTGGACATCCTCAGTTGTAAGTGGGTTTCCAAGGGCATTGGTGACCGACTTCGCAAGAGCAAGGACGTCCATTTGCTGGTAACTTTTTTTAACAATAATAGATTTACAATCTGTTAGCGAATTTACCATATATGGAAAAGCTATAAACGTTGGTCTCATGGTAAAACCTAGGGCCTAGGATAGCTTTACTTTTTCATTCTTATGACACCAGTGATTAAACGTACCATCCGTTCAAATTCATATAGATATAAATACTAGCAGAGTACCCGTCCTTCGTACGGGGTAGGCGTATAAGTATAAAATGCTTATCTCATGTAAAATAAGTAGACTGTTGTAGTTTTCTTGTTTATAGATATATTTTGATAAAATTTTGTAAATTTTTCAATTAATACCGGTGAAGCTATTAACTGTTTACTAAAAAACACACTTTATTATGTTCATTTTAGAAGCAAACCTTAGTAGGCTACTTGTTAAACCTAATGTTATAAAAAAAAGAATAAATCTGACAAGTTTAAGGAAATATTTTACTGAAAATGCGATCAAGGAATTGTAAAGGCCTATTTGTTTTTCACATTAATTTTTTTTTTCTCTCACAAAAGATATTTTTTTCTACGCCCGTGGCATTTTGTAACTTGTTGCATATCACGATGCTTTTAAAATTTATATAATTAGTTTTGATTAAATAGTTAGTATGTTTTAGTTTTTAGCGAATTTCCCATATAGGGAATAAGCTATTACCGTAGGTCTCATGGTAAGATCTGCACCCGGGACCGATTTAGTTTTTCGTTTTGAGGTCCCCAGAGGCCAAAAACACCATCCGTTCAAATTTATATATATATATATATATATTTATATATGTGTCCGTTAGCGCGATAACTCGAGCAAAAATGGTCCGATTTTGATGAAATTTGGTATAAACGTGTAAACCTACATTTATTTGAACGAGTTCGCGAACCAGCATGATTGGACTATGGGAACAGGGGTTTATGGGGGGTTTTATGGGGTAAAAGTGGGTTTTTATAATTTTTCACCCTGAAAACATAACATTTTGCAATTTCTTTCTAAACCATTTTGTAGAGCTCAAAAAAAAAAATAATTTAGTATATTGAAGCATTGTTGCATGCCTAACGGTTACGGAAAAATCGCAAAATAATGTAAATTTAAAATTACCATGTTATTCTTATGGAGAATAAATACAGTGTTTGTAGCTTGCTTGTGTATGGACATATATTAATGAAATTTTGAAATTTTGTTTACTTCATACTGAACTATTAATATCTCAATAAAAACCCCCTATTTTCTTCCCTGTAGCAGCAAACCTAAGTACTCATCTATACTTATTTAATACGCAAGCACGATTTTTGTGACAATTACTCCTCCGAAACTACTGAACCGATTGACACGTTTTTGTTGTCATTGGAAAGAGCGTAACTTGAAGTTGTGCAGGAAACTTTCTTTTTAGGTAAATAATTAGCGAGTGAGGCCCTAGGGCCCTTTAAAGTTTCGTATTCCTCCATAAGATTAACATGGGAAACAAACATTGTTTTGAAACTCCAGCTGTTGTCAGAAATTAAATATTAAATTATTCGTTTCCATGGAAGCATGAGAAAATTCACAATGTTTACATTTGCTTTGACATTTTATTGTAAACAACCAGAACTGTCGAATTTCTACTTCACAAATTCCGACAGCTGATCCAAAAAAATGTATTTTCCTTTGACCATGTAAAACAACTATTTTTTAATCTTAAACTTTTGGATAGATTATTTATTATAAATCTATTTCAATGATTATGAAACAGATTTTTCCCGTTGCGAAGCAAAAATTAATAGTGAGAAGAAGAGCATATGTAAAACAGTCAATGTGTAAATTATCTATGTTGTATTAAAAATGTGTTTAGTTTTGGATGTTGGTTTGTGTTGAATGATATCGGTTATTAGTTATTGCATTTTTATTCTAAGGATTTGGCATATGAGTAAGCCTATGATAAATAACACCATTTAAGAGTTCTGCCAGTTTTTGCCTAACTCTATCCTGTAGAGTTTAAAGTAGCCTACACCTTATTGTCTACATATTGGCTAAACAACTTAGGTACGGTACTTTATAAAAGCTGACAGCCTTTTTACGTTAACTTAATGTAAGCTTACCTTTTCCCGTACATGGGAAGATTGATTGTTAAAAATTAACCCTTTAAACTGGAATAGGACTGTCATGTAAATAGTGAGTATTTCCTTTAGTTAATAATCTTATAGTTGACTCTTTTAAAATCATCAGAAATTATGACTGTTATTAGTTTTTAAACAAGTTATTTGTTTATAAATAACTCCTGTACTTCTTTGCAATTGCTCGATTTCGAGCAACATGTACACTAGTTAATATTAATGATGTTTAAATAGGAAATAAATCTGACAATTTTAAGGGAACAATTTAGTGGAATTCCAGCTGTGTATATGGAAATTCGCTTAGTCTGCAGGTTTGCTGCGGCGGGGGTATTTGTTTTTATAGTAGTATAATTAGTTTTTATAACTAGTATTAAATACTATGGAATTTGAAGTTGTTCTCCAGGGATGAATACCATAAGTCTCTTATACAGGTTTCAATAAAATGTACAAATTCTGTGTAGTTTGTTTTACCCAGATCATTTTGAATTAAAACCATTAGCCAATCTAATTTGTTTATTTTCAAGTAAAAAAATGAAGTCTCGTGTTCAAAATGTGGACATATTGTGTTTAAAGATTATGAAGTTGACATCAGCCAAAAACTTCTAACATTCATAATGAAATTTGGAAAAAGGGTTAATGACAATAAATGTTTTAGTTACAGTTGGATACTGCCATGAACGAGCAAATCAAGGAACTATCGAAGACTATAAATCCTGGTTCTATAAAATACTATAACACAATTCTGAGGTCGTTTATTAGTAGAAAACAATCAGTAGAGAGTGATCTAATGCGGGATGCGATCAACAGGTAATGTGTAAACACTTTGAAAATTTTTTAATAGCTAAAATCGAGTAATTATCCTGACATATTAATGCGTAGTGTTTATTTTATTAATTTTTTTCTTATCTCCATGTTATTTATTATTTTTTTTTTTTGTAAGGATCCATCTAAACCCTCCCCTAAAGCTTGTTACTATCTTACGTTGAACTTTTGTTAAGTACCATCACTAATTTTTAGCACCATTTTATTATAATGTGATGGACTGCATTTGTGACAGAGATGCATAGAATTTAACTATATTGGCTTAACAATTACGTAAGTAATATAGTCTCATATAATTACACCAGATTATAGGCTACTAGGTATATTAATTTGTGCAGTTCTAAATATCAGCCTCTGTTGCAGATGGCGAATGCTGGACTGGAGTCGGTTGACGTCAAGATCCCTGCGTAACCTGGTATACAACCTTGATATTTCGAATGTTCTCATACCTCAAGTGGTTGAGCGGATGGTGGATTACTGTCTGAACAACGATGCTTACGTGACGGCAGGCACGGTGGGCAAGTTGTTGCATATGTGTTACCATCTGGGATACACACCAACACATGTGGACGCGTTGTGTGGCCTCAGTGCCGACCTGGCCACTAGGTAATATTTTTGAGATTGTGACATTACGTAAATTGTTGTCAAAAAGTTATAAGAAGTTCTTCAATTACTTTGTTTGATTTAATTTAAATCAAACGTGTGTTTAGTACGAGGTACGTTTGAAAAGTAAGTTCCGCTTTGAAATAAAAAATAACGAATACAGATATAGAAAAGAAATTAGTTTTAAAAAATCTACAACCCTTGCCCTATTTTTTGACATACCGGTAACTCACTTGATTTTTCAGGCACTTGTACAACTTTGAGTATACCTTCCTCATGGAATATTACCGCCTGTTTAGTTAACCATTTGGTAACACGTTCTTTCAGCTGTTCATTGCTGTTTAAACACTGACTGCCAAGAAAAGTCTTCACATGCGGAAAAAAATGAAAATCGTCCGGAGCAAGGTTGGAGGATGGTCAAACACGTCCTAGCCAAAGCCCCGAAGAAGTGTCTTCAACAAACTTTGTGGTGTGTGGTCACACACACACACACACACACATTGTCGTGAATGAAAGCCACTCCTTTTGTGAGCATTTTTCGGCGCTTATTCTGTATTGCGCGGCTTGAGCGTCTCGCAAAAAACATCTTTATTGATTGTTTGGCCTCGTGACTTTTGCCAGGGAAGTTGTGTGCATCCATTTTATTGAACGATTGGTTTCAGGGGTATCATAAGTAAAGCAACCCAATTTTTGTCTCCCGTGACTCTCTGCGATAAAATTTTATTGCTATCCTCGTCATAACAAGTCAAGAAATCAAGTGCACTGCCATCCAGCGGTTTTTGTACCGTTCAGAAAAAACTTTAAGCACCCAACTTGCACAAAGTTAAAGAAAATCCAGTTTTCCAGTTGTCGGTGAATGTCAATTGCTTTAACAAATCACCGATCATTTCAAAATCGGCTGGATTCTCAATTAATTCAGCCATTACAATCAAGTGCTACAAAGTGTACGACAACAATAACAAGTTAAAAAGGGCGCCATTTCCTTCTGGTAGACACAGATTAACTGCTGTGCATGCGCTGAACTGCGATCGCAGCGCTACTGCGAAGAATAGTGGAAAGGAAACGGAACTTACTTTCCAAACGTACCTCGTATTATAAACAATAAGTGGCTACTGCTTTTTCTGTGTTTGACCCAAAGAACGCAAAAACTACTGAACCATTTGAGCTAAAACTTAACTAGGGTCTACAGGCCAGACTTAATTTCTTTGGGTCAGTTACAAATTTTGCCCTTTGGATCTCAGAATGAAATAGTGTCTTAATTTATAAAAATATAAATGTAATATTACAATCTGTTTATACAATTTATTCTACATTATCTCCCTCAACTTTTAACATCTTCCATGGTCACAGCAAAGTTGAAAACCTCATCTGCAATCACAGTAAACCTGTTTCGCAGTGTGTGAAACACATAGAAGCTGAATGATTATATAACCGAGCTGAGCTTTCATTTGTGCAATCGCAGAAAGCAAAAATTTTGCCACGATTCAGGTTACTTTAATGAAAGTAACCTGAATCGTGGCAAAATTTTTGCTTTCTGCGATTGCACAAATGAAAGCTCAGCTCGGTTATATAATCATTCAGCTTCTATGTGTTTCACACACTGCGAAACAGGATTCCTTTGGTTCTTTTATATTCCAAATCCAAGTGAAGACTTTTGATGGTAATGGCTTTTCCATGTACTCCATAACTTGTATCTCAATAATCTTGCGCCTTAAGGTACCCGTATTATAAGTTATTAGTATCCTAAGAGGCTAGATGAATAATAAAACCATTGTTTATTATTATTTCTAAATAATGTATAATGTTTTCACCAAACTGTATACCGTATACTTGTTGCAGGGACGAGGTATCATTGAATGGATTGAGTATCCTGCAAGTAGCTCTAGCTCTAAGTTACTTCGACCGTCTACCAACCTCCCTCATTAAAATAATCTTCACAGTTGACTTCCTCGAAACATTGGATAATGAAATCAAACATTGCTTTGCCAAAGTAAGTTAGATTCCTCTCTGTATACTATTTTTGTTTAGTCATTGTTGTGGCTTGCCCCTGAACTAGTAAGACAAATATATATAGTGGTTTATTTACCTTTTCTTTCGTCCAAGTTCAAAGATAGTTGCATCATCTACAATCATGTTTTCGAAGCTAGTTGTGTCATGGTCACGTAGTTAGCAAGTCGAGAAGTGTCTTTTTGTAGTCGGTCCCTTGGACGTCGTCATCTTACACTAACACAAACATAAACACAAACGTACATTATTACAGTAAAAATAGAAAAATGGTTCTCGGATTCATGGGACGAAAGTGAAGGTGAATAAACCACTATTTTTGTTTGGATCTATTTGTAGAGAGAGACTTTTGAATGGTCGAACTAGTGATGTGTCAAAACCAAACCTTAAATTCAAAACCCTTTGAAAAAAATAAATTTGTTATTTTTGGGAATCGATACTAAACTGCCAAAATAACCACAACATCATTTAGCCTAGATTCCAGTGTTCTCCCATAGCCAGGTTTCATGTAGCCAGATTCTCTGTGTTCTTGAATAAATAGATATCTGAGAGCTGCAATGCAGTCTTACAACTCAGCATTCAAAAGTAACTCTAACATATCCTGTGCTACCACTATTTATTTTTCATCCAGTTTCACTAAAGATCTCCAGTTTTACTCAGTCGTTATTTTGTAAGATTCATACCAAAGAAACATATTCTGGCCTATGCAATTCAGTCATAGGTAGCGGACAATGAAATGAAATGTGTTTATTGTCTTGTGAATTTATACAAATTATTGACAATGTCCGAAAAACTGCTAAAACTAGCATAGTCAGTTAATGAATACAATATACAATATCTACAAGAATACTACACACAAGGAGACATGTTACAATACATACTTTAATATTACAACCAAATAATCTTATTGTTCAGAAAAATGCAAGGCATTTAGAATAATGAAAGTTATTAAACCCCATAACCAACTAAATCCAACAGTAATTTGGTAAATTTGCTAGCTCTACTTAAAAATTAATAAAAGGCATTTCAAAAAAATCTTTTAGAGAATAAAAAGGGTTGTTCAAAAGCCATTTGTAGAATTTAGATTTAAAAGTTTTATTAGGATATTTTGTTATTAAATGTATTAGCTTGTTGTATATTTTAAGTGAGATTACAATATGACTTTTAAGAGTTTTAGACAGTCTAAAAAAATCTATGGTAGCAACGTTTTTATTCCTTGTATTATGAACATGAGAATTTTGTTTGATAAGGTTGGGATTTTGTAGAATATATGATACAGAGTCAAATATATAAATGTTAATTACTGTTGGAATTTGTAGCTGAATGAACAGGGGTTTACAGTGTTCCTGTTGGGGTTCACAAGATATGATTCTAACTAACTTCTTTTGTAAGACTAAAATTTCCTCTATCCTACTGCAATTTCCGTAAAAGATAATATTGTATCTGAAAATGGATTGGAAATAAGGAAATAAGTAGGCTGTTTTAATATAATTTTGATCTATACAATGTATTAGTTTAGTTATAAGACAAATTACCCTTGAAAGCTTAGAACTTATGTAATCTATATGATCTCCCCAAGAAAGGGTCTTATCCAGATAAATACCAAGAAATTTAACATTGTCTACATAACCATCCAACATATTTAATTCACAGGGTCTAAGGCTAAAAACAATTTTTTGAGTTTTATCTTTGTTTAAGAGGAAGCCATTTGATTCAAACCAAATAGAAGCTTCATTGATTGAGTTTTGAGCTAACTCTTGAAGTTGTTTAAGATCGGGATTAATATTTAAAAACTAGAGAACCCGTGCGGCTCAATGAGCCGCATAGTATGAAACATAACTCCGAGGAAAACGTTATGCTTAAGTTCGAGTAATTCTAGTTACATCTTAGAGTTGTTTAAATACTTGTTTTAAATATCTCTATTTACATCGTCAAGGTTTACCTACATCATTTCTGCTCTCAGTTTTAACTGATAACTTCTAATGAATGCTAAACGATCTGCTTCAATTCGAGTTAACATGTTGCAACAAACTTTTTCCAGCATTGAGTATTGAAGAACACTGTTATTAGTAAGGATACTGATAACCTGTGTTGAGTAATTTAAGTTGGGTCATTTTAATTCTTTGATTTGATACATCCCCTTAATCAAACAAATTTTCTCCGTAGAGAATCCTGAAAAGTGGGGTTATATCTACCATTTCATGTGCTCCATTTTTACCGACAAACTCTGGGTTACCAACTGGACAGCCATAATCTGCTTTGAATAGGCTAAAGCAGCAACACTATTGAAAGTTGGTTAACACAGTTTAACGTGGTGTCTCTCAGTCACGGTATATGCCTCACATCAGAGCGTTCTCACGTTGTTTAGTGGAGTTTCTCTTAATACCTGAACAAAAGTTTTGGAAGTATGGATTCATTTGTCGAAATAGGTTGGATAACTCTTGTAGTTATAAGATTTGAATAGCAATTTTCATTTTCTTCTTTTGAATAGCGTATATTATTTGCCTCTCCTGAATCATTTATATAACCATAAACTTGACCATAACTACTCGTTGAATACATAAACACCAATTTCTCCACTTATGGTTGGTCTAATATTGCCACTATAACTCTCAATAGCAAATGAGTTTTTGAAACTTCTTATTTTTGACTTGAAATGTCTGGATTGTGTTTGTGAATTCAGTAATAAAACTTTGTATAAGTTTGTCCGAGGAACTTGCAACACAATCTAGAAGTAAACAATCCATTTACGTTTTTTCTCAATTGAAGTAGAGCGATAATAATGTCAATGCATTATTATAGTTTGTAGTATATATCTTATATATATATATATATATATATATATATATATATATATTTGTATCTGGATGAGTATCTGATAGACCATGCCTCTCTTTTTCTACTCCCCTCATACGCATAAGATATCTTATTACTAATTGTCTCCACATCCCGTTTTCAATATTTCTTCTTTGAACTTGATGCATTTTCTGTTCTTCCAACAAAACTGATTAACTGTTTAACTTGGTCTTAACCTACTGAATATTAAAAACATTAATATTTACTACCAAAAAGCTAATGAGTTTCTTTTTATAAACAGCTGTTTTTGTTTTTAAATTTGTTCTGTGTATTTCTTATAGGGAAACCCCGACCTTTGAGAGGGTGTCACGCCCTTAAGAGTTGGAATTTTAAAATTTTAAAACCTTATTGCAAAACTACATATTGAGACAAATCTTTTGACACCTTAAACATTGAAATTTGTCCACAAATAAGGGAGGAGTTGCATTAACAAAAAACGGCTTCACGTATTATATATATAGATGTTGTATCATCTGCATACAAATAAGTTTTACTGGTTATACATTCTGGGAGGTCGTTAATACAAATTAAAAATAATAGAGGACCTAGAACAGATCCCTGAGGCACGCCATATTTCATTTTTAATTCTTGGGACCATTCTCCATCAATATTGACTTTTGTGACGTGTTTTTCCGTTTTATTGTAAAATAGTCAACATATTAATTTAGGTTTTCGGATGGCTCAGTGGATGCCAGGATTCGTCATCGCAGATACAGTAGAACCCCTGATATCCGGCCTTGGTTTTTCCGGTCCTCTGTTTATCCGGCCACTTCCAGGAAGCCAATATCAAAATGTTTTTCTCAAAGCTTACAGACGTTTAGATGCAAGCACTAGTCTTTGCGACTTGTTTGAGCTAAACTATTTATCTGTTTGTTTCAATACATTTTACTGTGTCACTAAACTCAGTTGAACTAGGCCTAACCTCTAAAAAGTTGGGGGTTGGGAAATTAATCTTTGTATTTATTTCACAAAAAGGATAAGAAAGTTGAGTAGAATTGTATTTACTATTAAGGTCCTAAACATCTTCAAGGCTGATTTAATGTAACTTTTACCTCCATCGTTTAATAGTTTTTGTTACCTGAAATCTTAATTTCAGGTTTTTTTAACAACTTTAGCCTACAAATAATTTTTTTTATTTGTACAAACATGTTAATTCAAAAAATAATCCTAGAATAGACTTAAATGACACTTTTGACAGCATGTATTGATTAAACATTATTATAGGTATGAATCATTTTCATTTTTGTAGTAGGTTGGTTTATCCGGCCAAATCGCTATCCGGCCAGGGGCTTGGTCCCGTGGTGGCCAGATATGAGGGGTTCTACTGTACTAAAATAATTTTGAGTGACTCAGACAAGATACCTAATTTCGGTAATATCTCACTATCATCATTGTCACTGTTTTAGATTGCCAATTGAACTCTTCCAGGTTGCCTTATACAGCAACACACAAATACTGGAAGGGACGTGTTTAATTACAAAACGTTCGGTACACGAAATTTAGGTTCAGCTATGGGTGAATTTAGAATATTTATGGGATTGTCTATATCCCGTCGAAATACGAAAATACGTGGTCGATATTTGGCTAATTAGAGACCAATGCTTTTCATTAGGTAACAAAACGATTCTAAGTATTAAAGGACCTACTCATAAAACACTAAATACAAACGTTATTAACAAGAAAGCCCAGGTTGCTTCAGCAGCAACAAAACGATACTGGGATTTGACGAGGTAATTGTTACAAATATCGACGTTAAACGACCTACAACAAAATACACCCAGGTTGCCTCAGCGGCAACAAAACGATACTGGGATGGAACGAGTTAATAAAATGAAATATCGACGGTAAACAAAACAAAACAAAACGCACCCAGGTTGCTTCAGCAGCAACAAAACGATACTGGGAGGAAACGAGTTAATGAAACAATAAAATATCGACGTTAATTAACACACAATAAAATACACCCAGGTTGCCTCAGCGGCAACAAAACGATACTGGAATGTAACGATTTAATAGTTAATAATATCAACGTTAAACAACACACAACAAAACACAATACTCCCAGGTTGCTTCAGCAGCAACAAAGCGATACTGGGAGGAAACGAGTTAATACAATTAAATTATGGATGATAAACAACACAAAACAAAACGATAGTGGAATGTAACGATTTAATAGTTAATAATATCAACGTTAAACAACACACAATAAAATACTGGAATGTAACGATTTAATATTTAATAATATCAACGTTAAACAACACACCAAACAAAATACTCCCAGGTTGCTTCAGCAGCAACAAAACGATACTGGGAGGAAACGAGTTAATACAATTAAATTATGGATGATAAACAACACAAAAAACAAAACGATACTGGAATGTAACGATTTAATAGTTAATAATATCAACGTTAAACAACCCACAACAAAACAAAACACTCCCAGGTTGCTTCAGCAGCAACAAAACGAAACTGGGATGTAACGAGTTAATAAAATAAAATAACGACGTTAAACAAAACACAAAACAATATGAACCCAGGTTGTCTCAGCGGCAACAAAACGATACTGGGCTGGAACGAGTTAATATACTTGTGAAATTGATAATTAGTTATCGTATCGAAAATAATTTAATGTATTCCTAGGTTGCTTTAGCAGCAACACGACGTTACTAGGAATCGAAGCTTCGAATGGAAACGAAAGCAAAAGTTACACTCAATGCTAGTTAATTAGGCCTACCGTGAGATCAGAGATGGTTTATGGCTCCGTTATTAAGCCAGTCGAGGTTACCGTGCACGAGACGACTGCACGGTTCGGAGGTATTGCGTCGAATGAAACTACAAACCAACGCAGTGGCCCTCGTCCAGACAGTGGCCAGTGCGCAGGCGCGGATCCCCTACCTCTCCTGTCGTCCCTACTCTGGCGGTAAGGACAGAGTTTGGTTGTGTGTTAGAGAGAGAGCGCCGAGGAGAGAGAGAGAGCGCCGAGGAGAGAGAGAGAGCGCGAGTGTCTGGCACTACTGTACGTTCCTGATTTGACGTACCGACCGTCGGAAACGTAAAACTGTAACGGGTGTGGAATACATCGTTACACTTTTTGTATTCTATTGTTTAAGTATGATTTGAAAAAAGAAAGTGGAGATCCGTTGATACCATAAAAACTTAATTTCATTATTAGGTCATCATGGTCGACACAATCGAAAGCCCTACTCAGGTCGCAGAAAGTGGCCTGAGCAAGTGACTTCCTCTCAAAGACCATTAGTACCTCATTAATCAATTTATCTATTGTGTCTGATGTACACTTGCCCTTTCTAAATCCAAATTGTGATACACTTAAAAAGTTGTTTCTTTCAAAAAAAGAATTCAGCTGGTCAAAAACCATGATTTCAAACAATTTTGATACTACAGGAATGATTGATATTGGGCGATAACTTTCTGGAATATCTTTTTTACCTTTTTTAACAATGGGACAGACTCTGGTGACCATCATCTGTGATTCATCTGGAAAGACACCCTCAAGGAGACAGAGATTAAAGCAGTAAGATAGAGGTTCAGCTAGATTACCAATAATCTGTTTAAGCAAACTATTAGACATGAGATAAACATCATTACTGCTAGAGTTTTTTTATTTTTTTTGTGGCTTTTATTAGATCATTAGGTGTGATAAAATTCCAGAAAAAAGGTACAGGAGTAATGGAAGAATTATTAACTAAATCTTTTGAACTGTAAGCATTACTAACAATTTTCATTTTTATGTTTTCAATTGATTCAATGAAAAAGGTATTGAAAACATCAGGAGATATTTTGGGGTTTTTTGTATTGATTAAAGAATTGCTACTGGTTTTAATGATTTGCCAGGCAGTTTTACATTTTGTTATTACTTTTTTCTATGAGATTTGTGTTATATTCTATTTTGGCCTTCTTAATTGAATGCTTATATTGATTTTTAACCCATTATATGCTTGTTTTGTTTCATTTGAAACGCTTTGACTATTTTTTACTATTTTATCTACAATATTATGAATATGCTGTGCACTGCTGAAATATGGGGAAAATATTTATAGATTATGCAGGAGCATAAGATAATGATTCTTATTTCTTATAACTATCACAATATGTGTTGTGTTAGGACAGATACCCCCAGAGAGTAAGAAGGGCCCTGATGGAGCTCAACAGATCTGTGTGTCTAGACCAACCTGAAGCTGACGTCCCATGGTTCCATTCTAAATTCTGTGAGGAGCAAAAAGCGTTAGGTAATCTAGTTCAAGATTAATACAGTTAATTTTGCTTAGCACTTAATTTCTTTCCCTTTTTCAGGTACTCTCTAAGCCTGAAAAAATACATAGATTTTGTTGAACAACAATTTTGTAAACACCAAGTTTAACCCAAAAAGGATTTTACTGGCTGAGCCTGGGTACAGTCTCATGTTTCATGATGAGCGTTTTTCTATTGTTGCCTGGTAAGATCAAAACACAACGTGAGATATGATCTCAAGATGGTAATTAATGTCTTTATTGGAGATTAGAAAACCATAGCAGCTATGAAGCTCAAACTAGATAAATTAATTTTTACCTTATTACATTACATCTGTATATTCAAACGGTATTTTCAAAGTAAAAACTCTATATAAGCTTTTCTTTGGCAAATTTCCGCATTTATTATTCAACATTTTACTCTTCAAGAAGATTAATCCCTGAAGCAGTTGATACATCCTCTAGCAGTAACACGTACCTACCTTTTTGTCACAATGGCCAGTGAATGTCTTATACTTTAAGCACAGAGTATTATTTTGGGGTGAGGAATAATTTTAACAGCTCTGTCACTTTCTTAGATCAAAGACTTTCTTGCTTTTCCTAGCTGTCACGACTTAGATAGTGAAGTTGACACCTGTTTTTTTATATGTACCAGCTCCAGCTTTACTAAAATTTTTTAATAAAAAAAACAGTTGAATGAACCACGCAGAGAAGGTGCTACAGTGTAAAAATATATTTTATCCCCTTGTTTTGGTAATGTAATAGTAAAAGGGACATAAAATATGCTATGATAACAATAAGTTGTACTTTTAGTTTGACTTGGTTATAAAGTTGGGGTATTGATAAAAACCGGAATTTTCACCAGCACACTGTTCCCATAGCTCAATTCCACTATGTTATTTGTTTTTAATTAGTTAAAACTTTAACATTGGAATGGGAATGTCAAGTTATATCAATATACAAAATCCACGTTTTCACGTGGCCAGTAGAGCAGGCAGGTTATGGGGCAGGTTACTTGCCTCTAATGTATTTCGTTACCTGAGGCAAGTAAACTGGCTTTGTGTAAATATTGTCCACCGTCATTTCACCAAATCATATAATAAACCATCTGTCTGATTCACTTATCTTTGTTTCTCAGGTCAGCTCGAAGTAGTGCCCAAATCACTTCTGTTCACTGATGTGTACAGCACATTGCTGAAACTTGTGGGAGGCAGTCAATACATTGGCACCAGGACTTTCTCACCCTACGGCTATGTGTTAGGTAACTAACTATATGTTCTACTCATGTAATGAATCCATTCATCATTTGTGTCACAAGGTGACTGAATAATCATTTATTAACGATTAAATTTATTTGTGTGACATCAACATACTCATAAACCTATTTTTGTGCGACTTAAGTTTTTTTTTTTCATATTTAATATAATGATCAAGTTTAAACGAATAATGTTTGGACAAGAATCTTGGGATTCGGGAGATGACCACGTCAATAAATTGACAGAAATTCAGCTGATGTTTCGAAAGCGTTGCCTAAATCCATCTTCAGCTCAAACTTCAATTCAACTGCTATTCAACTACCTTGTCATATCCTAAAACCAACAGTCTACTTTGATCGTGGAAGCCTACCATTGAGATTAAAAAATTTTCACTTTAAAATAGGGATGGACGGGATTAAATTTTTAGTTTGGGACGGGACAGGACGGGATTTTTTCCTGGGCATAATAAGAGAGTCTTGAGTATTGCAGTTACCAAACAAGACAAACAAAATCAATTTTTATCATTTGTGGCACTGATCTATAAAAACAAAAAACGGGTAAAAATTTACAGGCATAGAAACTTGTGACTCGCGGTCGAAATGATTCGCAGTCACGGTGCGATCGTCAAAACGACTCGCGGTCACAGCGGTTTGACTCGGGGTCACAGTGGGATTGTCGAAATGACTTCGCCTCCTGCGTTTGGGAACTATTGTGAACATCTCTTGCGATAGCGGCGTCATCGTCACTCGCGAAGCGTCAAAATCGCCAACGATTGGATCAAATCCCGTCCCGAAAAATTCCTGAATCAAATGTAATCCCGTCCCAAATTTGGAAATACTAAACTAAAAAACTAAACTATAAATTTCAGGACTCGTCCTTCCCTAGTTTAAAATAAAGATTCTGTACTTAAACTGTAATTGTTACATATTTGTTCAGTATGTCACTCAATTATAACTACTCTCACATTTCATGTAAGACAAAACAGTGTTGTTGCACTAATAAGAGGCAATATTCATATGGTCATAGAATAGAATGATGACAAATTTGTGAATTATCTTTCTCTGGTTTCAGATATGCAAGTAAATTTAGATGCAGCATTACAACCAGTGCCTCTGAAAAGTGACGAAGGTGTTAACAAGTAAGTACTTCTTATTCTTTTGCTTTTCTAAAATAAATATGTTGGGGGCCACTTTAAACTTGTGTTTTTCCGTCTACATGTGTCTCGGATGTGTGCATTTACCTTATTAAACAAAGTACCTAAGGGGTTAACTAAACCTTAAGTCCATTATTTGTAATTTCACAAAAATTTCTGCCTTACTAGAGAAACAAATGTGAGTTTTTTTTACAAAAGATCTTTCTTAATAAAATCTTTAATTGATGAAATCCCTTTTTTGATTTTCTACTTTATCACAATATGATTGATTGACATTCATTATGTGCATGAAATCTCAACCGTTTTTTAACACAACATTACACTACCTACATAAACACGTTGACTGCTGTCGCTAGCACTTCAATGTGGCGCGCGCCGACAAAAGTCGGCACCAGACCAACAGAAATATATTGAGTCAGTGTGAGCTTAGCCTCAGACGGAGACGTTATAATCGTTGCCAGCCTGCCAGCTTAGAATGCGAGCTTTACTTTTGTGTAGGTTGGTACTAAAATTTCCCGTAAAATCCTGTCTGGCAATGCTTTTGTCCCGGTTTCGGGGATTTTTTCTCTTCAACCCACATTACAAAGACACTGGATACGGATCCGTGCAGTGCTGCTACCTTTGGGTGTTTCAGTGAACTACATCCACTCTCGGGGTAACACAGCACAGTCACCACTGCTCTTTTGTGATTCGTCAGACTGAAATATTTGAATGCCAATTGCGTTCGCTGATTCGGTTGCGTGCCGGGGCTTCGCCCGCCACTGGGGAGCGCCTGTACGTTGTTTTCAGCAGTCATCGTGTTAAGTTTTTTTATGTTTTTGGTAGTAATTCAACAGGGAAGTCTTTTGAGCATATTTGAACATATCGTTAAAATGTAGATGGCCATCAAAACAAGTATAATTTAAACCAAACAAGAGAAAGTAAACAATACAGAAACTTCTCAAATGTTCTAGTTGTACTATTAGTGTAATGGGGTGTCATTAGTTTTGGTAAATACAAGGATAGTCCAATCCTTCCAATCAATGTTTGTGATATAGGCTAAAGTGGCTGTTTGTAATAGTTTAAAGGTGATTATGAAAGACAAAATGCTCAAATGCTATTAGGCCCATATTTACTGAGTGAAGTCAACCAAAAATTATAGGTTAATGTGTTGTGTTGATCCATGTAAGAACGAATATCAGGAAGTAATTTTGTTTAATGTGTAATTAATGGAATTCTTGATGACTGTAACATAACATTTGTTGTAAATTGATTCATTGATTTAAGCCAAACATAATTTCTGATTGCAGGATTTTACACTCTGTATAAAATATTTGTAATGCTTGAAATAACATTTTATGAGATTATTTAGAGCAACAATTTGCTTACATTTAGACACAAATAAATCATAGCTTGAACAAACTATTTTGTAGGTAAACTGTAGAACATTTAAAATGGTCTCATTATAAAATTTATTTTCAAAATTAGTAGTAATCTAGGTTGTCATTTACAAATCTTACCTCAAGAACATTTTTTCTAAATTAAAATACAAAACTAAGATAAGGGACAAATTCTTAATGGCTTTTTTCGCCTATTCACTCTCTATGAATGGATTATAGTGCTGGGTCTTATTTTTTTTTTCGTAAAAAGTTCTTTAAACTGTTTATAGGATCGAACCAGCAGCCATTATTTCTAGGGTTGTGTTTTTATTGTATGTGGACCCTCGCGGATCACTCCAAAGAGGCCTTTCAATTCTGATTATGGTATCTGAAGCTTATAAAAGTTTAGAAATACAGCCTGGTTAGTATTGCTTCAATGTGTTGAACTCAACCATCTGTTTTCTACAATCGGATCTGTAAATACACCTAGGAGTACACCAGCTAACAAATTATTCCATTTTGATTTTAATAATAATATAAGGGGTCGGCGGGTCACACATTTTTAACTTAGAGCCGGGTAAAAAAATATCCCTAACATCTCTGGCCAAAATTGAGTTGGGTAAAAATCAGGGTGGGGAAAGGATTTATATGAGATGATAAAGTGTGCTTTCAAGTATTTGGAAGTTTACATTAAAAAAAAAATATCAATTGTTGGTTTGAAGGTTGCCTGCAATGTCAGTGAACCTTGTCCTCAGTCGTGACAAAATCGTATGAGTCAGTGAATTTGTGAACCTCTCTTTCACAGTGAAATTATGAACTTCTTCTATTATCGTGAAAACAACATAATCGTTCCTCCGATCATGTAAAATCATGAGCGTCTCTAGCAGTTTCTGTGAAATCCTAAACATTTTTTTCGGTCCGGGAATCTTCATCATTGTCTCACACAATTTCAAAGAAATCTTGCTTTTTGATCAGGTAATCTTCTCAGACGCTTTTGGCTATTGGGAGAATAAAATCTCAGCTCAAAAATCAAACATTTCAAATGGTGAAATTATTTTTTTCAAGTTTAACAAATAATGTTTGAGTCCGTAAGTGAGGCCCTTCCGGTCTGAAGCCCTTGGCATTCGCTCTGTCCGCCTTTAGAAAAATTCAGCCCTGATTTGGTTTGCTAGTCAAGTGTGTATTTATTTATCATTTGGTTATCTTACCTTATTGAAGGTTTTAGTTTTAATCCCAAAGGCTTTGTGGTTGGAAATCACCCAGTGCAACTAAGATCGGCTAAATATTATGGTATACACAAAACCGTTTCAAACTACAATAAAAACCTAAAAATACATGGGCGACAAAAAAAAACATTGACACATTAAAAAACACTCGCTAATTTAGTGTGTTTGTTCTCTGTTCCAGATTAGCCTTGCTGTTGTACCACGGAGACAGTTACACAGCGTTTGAGCAGCGACTGAAGGGCTTCCTACAGATGAAGCAGAGACATTTGGAGATCCTCGGCTACAGAGTCATCAGCCTGTCAGACTCTCTGTGGAACGCTATGTACATGACAGAACCCAAGGTCAAGCTGGAGTACCTGCATAGTCTCATTTGGCCTTCATGACAGGTAACTATAACACACCTTGGCTGCAGTTATGGCCCATGTCGGCCATGTCAATTCAAATATTTGATAAGAGGGTAGTTTTGTTGGCCCAAGCTGTTCAGACTGAGGGATATTTCTGAGAGTCAAAGAAGGGGAATGAGAAAGAGAGACTTGTTAGGTAAAATATAAAATATAACCTGATTGCCATTGTGGACACAAATTAATATGTAGTGAGCTTTGTAATTAAAGAGACGATAGTATAAAAATCCTATTATTGTCGTAGACTGAAATGTTAGATGTATGTGAAATGTTAGATTGAAATGTGAGTTTTTGATTCAAATTTACATTAGATTCCATATTTTTTATTTTGTGATCTTTGCTGTGGCTGGTCCTTTAATGAACCTTTTGCGCACTATTGAGACACGATAAGCCCCAGTAAGAAAACCATGTTGGGTTCAATTTTGAAAAATGTTGATCTAACAACATTGTTTTTAGTTTTCCCCAAATAATTAGATTCAACAAATTTAAACAAAAGTTTCCCTGTATAATAATACACTTCATTCGATTACATGGACACATAGAAATAACAACAACATGGTTGTGCATTAGTTACAACTACAAGTTGCAACATGGTTGTCGGCTTAATTGTCTATGATCTGATAAAAATGTACTACAAATTAACCGATTTATCGCTTTTAACAAAAACTCAAATTATTTGTTACATTAAATTAAACAGCCATAGTATTAAAACAATTATGTCTTCACTAGGAATTCTCAAATGAAGATGAAGATCCAAAGTGACGATGCCAAATGCTGCAAAAAAACTGATTAGTGGTAAGAAATCTGTTGTATAGCATTACAGTATTTTCTTTTGTAAATAAAAACCTTATTGGTATTAATTGTTATTTGATTGTTATTTTAACCAAGCCTTTAGTATTTAGTAGTGTATTATTTTTAAATATTAGCTTTCATTTCAAACTAAACTAAACCTTAATTTTTGAGGTGTTGCCCTCTGGGTTGATTTTAACAATACTATTTTAGAAGTTAAATACCTTTTTGTTGCCAATGTAATCTCTTGTTCGCCTGGATAGCGACCGTTTTCAATACTCAATGTGTCATTGTCAAGCCTTAAGACATGTTGTCGCTCCTAGCAGGTCGTCAGGAAGTCTTTAAAACATAAACACGAGACATTAACAAACATTTTCACGAATAAATAAAATTAATTAAACAAAATCCCTTTGAATAAATATTTAGCAGACATTTGAGTTATGCAAGAGGTGATATTGACAATTTATTCTTAACTCTTTCACTGACCAATCTTTGTCTTTTTTAAATCCCGTTGGCCAGATGCCAAGATAATAGATAATACAGAAAGGACATTTTAAAATACTTTAGACTATAAATGGACTAATTTAATGGAATTTGTTTGCACAATTTGATTTCCTTTCCCTAATTCAATGATGAGTAGCTTGCTCAATAAGTGGTCAGATGTGCTAGACGCTAGACACAACAAATTCACTATTCAACTTTCACTTGAGGTGTATTTATTTTTAGTGTCTCACCTATCAATACTGCATTACCAGGTGAATTCTGTAGGATGTTTTCGGTCAACCAAGACAGGATTATAACCTTGAAACCTTCAATAAACTATTTTTTGATAAATCTTTACATCACTGTGTCACTAATCACTGATTGGATATTATTGATATTAATACTTTAATACTTTTCAATAATAAACTAGTTTACCTTGTGGTTGCCAGATTCTTGAAATGAGTATATATCTTGCTCGATGTACATTTCGCTACATGTGTAGCATCGTCAGGAGCACAGTTTGTCACATTAGGCTATTTAACACAAACACTATTTACAAATATTTACATTTACGGTCGGATGACGATTTACGGTACGTAAAGTCATAGGAACACAGCGCGCGAACGCGTGCGCGGACCGGAGGCACTACATGTGTCACTATTTGACTGACAACTGGCTTGAGGAGGTATGTTTGGGGAGGTTCGGTCAGGGGATGGGGGTGAGTTTACGATGTTAGAGCTTTCTCTTTTTGGACTGCGACGTTGCCAAGTCCCTGCGCTGTTGCCACATTGATCTTCTAGATGGTTTATAAGTTTGAAAATTATTGAATTGTTGTAATCTTCTTTTTTGTTTAACAGGGTGTCTGTATTTGAACTATGGGTATGTTTGTATATGTGGTAGCTTTCTTGGACTTTTGCTATCGACTTAACTCTTTCGCTCCACCTAACATCATAAACTCACCCCCATCCCCTGACCGAACCTCCCCAAACAAAGCTCCTCAAGCCAATTGTCAGTCAAATAGTGACACATGTAGTGCCTCCGGTCCGCGCACGCGTTCGCGCGCTGTGTTCCTATGACTTTACGTACCGTAAATCGTCATCCGACCGTAAATGTAAATATTTGTAAATAGTGTTTGTGTTAAATAGCCTAATGTGACAAACTGTGCTCCTGACGATGCTACACATGTAGCGAAATGTACATCGAGCAAGATATATACTCATTTCAAGAATCTGGCAACCACAAGGTAAACTAGTTTATTAATAATTTGTTCTTGAAGCTGGAATAATACACAACTTTTCAATACTTTTTATTTAAATGGCGACCATACTAAGTAAGTATTTTAAGCCAAGTATGAATAGAGATGAGTGTAGGATGAGTGGCGCGATCTTGTAGTCTTGTTAGTGACCAAGGACGACATATTCCTTAGGCACAGCTGTAAATTAATTGCCCATACAGCTAAAGGCAACTAAGGGACCTACAGTTTATAGTGGATTCCGAACCACATTTTTGCCTTGGTATTAACGAGTTGGTCCAATTACCAGGATAGTACTGCGGATAGTCATAGTACTCACTAGTGCGGACGTTAATCCACACCAGGGAGTATCGCATCCACAGTGCATGCCTATAAATATCCACAATATAACAGGTATCCACCTAACAATGCCAGTACACACTGAACACTGAATACAGAGTGTTTCATGGTAACCTTGACAAAAATCGGGAAATGGTTATTTGGATCAAAACTAGATAAAATGTCCTATAAGCATATGTCCTAATCTCACTCATTTTCTATTTATACGTAAAAATAGTTGTTTTTAGGTTTTCAGTGTATCTATTGAACATTTTGACTTCTAGATTGAAAAATTGACAAGATATTTTGATAAAACTTGCATTAATATATAGAATATTACATTTCATAGAGAATTCATTACTATTTTGGGCAAACATGTTGGTTATGACTAATAAAAATAAGTTTAAAAACAAAATATTTTTGAAAAAAATCTAGATTAAAAATTATTTTTTTGTTTTTGACAGCTCTTAATGTAGTAACTATTCAAGCTTTTGGCTTGCTACTTTACCAAAAGTTGTAGAATTTAACGGAGAACAAGGAAATGTGAATTTATGTATAACTTTTATTGGGATTATTTTTGTCAACATTTTGTAAAATATAAAAAATTATTAAATTAAGCGAAATAAACATAATTGTATATTTAGCTTATTTTTAAACTAATCCTAATAAAAGTTTAGAATTTTTTCACATTAATTTGTTTTATTGGAGTAAACCTGTTAAGTGTTTGAAGATAACAGTTGAAAAGATTTGTATCTTTTGAATTATATGGTAGGCCTATTTATTTAAGTTATCAATGCAAGAATTACTTAACCTCTGTGAATGGAAGTATTTGTCAAAATTTTCTAGCAGGGTATAGCTTTATTTCTTTTTAACATTTCAGAAAATACTACTTTATACAGCACACTACAATGGTACATATATTTTGCATTATAGGCATGCATGACTTTTGAACTATTTTTTGTTTTAGTTTCCAATCTGTACAACGGTTTGCTAAGGGACCAATAAAGTCAATTGCTTTAGTTAGAAATTATTTATTAAAATAATAATCTCACTTTAATTACAAATCTACATACAAACCACAGTCTTACAATTACTGGATCAGAGCTCTTTACTTAAAACACATAATACAATAACAAAATAGGCCTAACTTGTTGGTTTATTTAAAGGTGAATTATATTACACCATGTTTTTAAACTACTAAACAGTTATGCCTTGTATCAATAAGGACTTTGGAACCCGACATCAACAGAGGTTTGAAAACATTGGTAAATCTTTCCTCTTTGATGATTGAGCGTGTGATTTGCTTTACAGGGTATAATGTGGAAGTATAGCAAAACCTTATTATTTGATAAAACTTATCCAAACAAATAGCAAGCTTGCATTTATTAGCTGTGTGTCTGTTTCACCACTAGAAACAAATCTCAATAAATTAGTTTTTTAGATATACAAAATTAAAACAGACCACAAAATTATCAAGCCATACTTTCTTATATCCTTAAATGAGGGAAAAAGACATTGTCCAGTCCTTAATTGACAAAAAACAAGATCCAAAACTATGGTGGATTGGGCAGTTTGACTTTTTTCCATATCATTTAATGAGATTGTATTATAGTATCTAACATTTTTATTTTCCTTATGAATAGTTAATCTATCACAGCAATACGTATATCAAAGATTTATAGCATTTTTGTACCGTACTTTTAATCTAAATTAATACCAAATAAGAAAATAACACTAGCAGACTGCCAAAATAAACGTAAACAATACACAAACAAAATATATGTTACATTTATGAAATTTGTTTTCATTGAATGAATGTTTAGGCTTTTTAGTTACAATCATTAACTTTGGACCCTTCGTAAACAGTCGAAAATCAATTAAATGAGCTTACACATTACTAGTTTTGAGCAAATTAAAACATAATCCTAATATAACTAGAAGTAATTTAAACGGTATTGAGTATTATAGTTAATTCTTATTGATAAATATTTTTGTACGCTACAATTAAAAGACATATATTAACATTTATTATCACAAAACCTTAAATATTAGGAACTACATTCTAATCATAGGTACTCAGTCGCTTTCGAGCCTCCGTACTAGAGAGACTTTGTCGTAGAGGAGTTGTCATTTTTGTCAAGTTCTTTCAGGACATCTTGATGTTACAACCTGTTCATGAGGTGTATTATGTCTTTGTAGAGGATAGTTTTAGCATTGTTTCCCCACAAGTAGTCAATGTGGTTGAACATCTTGTAGGGAACTTTGAACACTCCGATGACATTCGGAAGTTTTTTGACTATCTTCATAACGTCCTGCAAAACGCAGAGCGTTAACTACTTAGTCACAAAAATGGTAGTTTGATAAAAATAAACGGTATTGGTAAACTGACACATACTTTCTCCTATTAGCTTCTCAACAAACCTTAAAATGGGGGTGGGAGAAAATATGATATTTTATAGGTAAAAACACAAAAATTGCTGTAACTTTTTAACACCAATTTTTACAGCATTGTGGGTTACCATATTGATTAGAATTAAATAGACCATGACATATTAAATTTTAATCAAAATAATTCTAGCTATTTTTGTGAAAAACCTATTTTTTGAGTTTTTAAGGAAAATCCACATTAAAAATTAACGGTAACAGCAATCTGACTCATACTTTCTCCCATTAGCTTGTTAACAACTTTTATCATGGGCAAGCAGTGGGAGTAACTAACTAGAGTTAAAAGGACTATAACATACTAAATTTAAATCAAAACTGGTCAAGCGGTTTTTTTGGACTTTGAAGTACACACTAGTTTGGTTTAATGTATTTTCTGTTATAAGAGTGTGGTAAGTATTACCTTCTCAGAAGACAGGTTATCGTTGGTGCTGTAGTGGATGGATACTGGAGCTGTGACTAGTGAGAGGTCGTACTCAGGCGCTTCTGTGTTGCCGTAAACCTTGAGGTTGTTTGTCGGTCCGTAGTCAAACCATTGGAACCGCCCTGCAAAATTTATTGTGACTTATTACAACTTTACTTACAAAGCTAACATGTTTAGACGTTAAAACATTATTTCTCAGAACCTCCCAACTTCTCACTACTAACATTTTGGGTTGATTTAGTACTGGCAAGAAATTGAATGCAGGGATGAAATATTAAATCCTTGGAGTGTTCTAGGTGACGTGGGCAGTTACAGTCACATTCATTCCTCTTTGAAATTTTCTCCCACTAAAAGCTAATTATATGTTAAACCTGTTACCAAAACCCCTTGAGTATTCTGTTGAATCTTTGGTCAGTTCTGGTAACTTTTCTATTCCACGGAACTCTCCCTTTCATAGCTCTGAAACCCTTATGCCCAGAGCCTCTCACTAAATTATCCCTTGTTGAGTCTATGGCTTAAGAACCCCGCTAAATCTTAGAACCAACCCTAACAGAACTCTTTTTAAGTTCCAGATAGACTCTTTTCCTATGAAACTCAATACTGGAAAATGGAATCGCCGATCCTCCGCACGCTATCCTTTCCTGTAGGAATTCGGTGGTAGGATTTGAACAGGACCTCTTTATCGCTTAGAGCGTTAGCGATAAGGTCAGGCTGTTCTCCTTCTGCTACGTTTGCATCATCAATCTGAGTTCTCAGGTGACCGATACCACTTCCATCTCTCCCTGGAACCACTGATATGTCCTCTTCTGTTGGTGTTTTGTCGTCTTGTCCCGAAGGAGTGCTAAAAGTGAAGATAATTGAACAGCTGTGATGCTGCGGTGCAGCTGAACGCGGTGGATCATTATGGCTGAAATGCCATCTCTGGCGTACAAAGGCACCCTCTTGAAGTATTGTAGATAGCATTTCCGAGAGGGTTTCCATTGCCTGGACCGATAGGTTTTTAGTGGGTGAGAGTCCCACACGCCAGGGTAAAAACCATCTTTAGACCCTGACGGTGCATTAAGCATTTTCCTGTCGTAAAAAAAAAATATTTGTGTTTTATAAACCCTGATTTTCTTGTCCTCACATCTCTAGCAAAGCACAAGAGCCATCAAAATTAAGAAAGAACAAACTGATAAAATTTAGTGGCTGTGCGGGAATTCAAATTCCCAATATTGCTCTCATGGCTTTAAGCCACCAACTCAATCAAATATTTATATTTATAGGAAATAGTGATGCAGTATTATGAAACCATCTTTGTTATAATTTATTACAAGAATATTCCTTTACCTGAGTCAACATTTTGAGCATAGTGAGCGAGAGTTCTGGGGTTGGTGCTGGACAGATGTTCTATCATAGTTGGCAGCATGCTCTAAAACATAAAGTTCAATTGTCATGTAAACATTCTGGTAGAATAATGCTAATGAGTACAGGCACATCAATGGAGTAGACAACTCATAAAAAAATACTCATACATTTCCAGTATCGTTTGATGTAAATTTATAGTTTAGTGCATGCATTGACACAAAATAAGATGTTTAGCAATCATGTTAAATTACTAGTTGCTTTACCTGCACTTCAAAATTGACGAGAATACAGAGAATAATTTAATTCTTTTAACTTACACTGAAAACCAGTTACACATCCACCATTATTTAAAGTGAAGAACAAACAAACGGTATCAGCAATCTGACACATACTTTTCTCTCTTGACAACAACCCTTATCATGGGTAAGCCGGTGGGAGTAACTACGATATTTTATGGGGAAAATCACCAACGTTGCTATAACTTTTAAACGGTAGTTTTTACAGCAATGGGTGCAATACTCTTTTGTTTAGAGTTAAAAGGGCTATAACATACTAAATTTTAATTAAAATCGTTCAGGCAGTTTTGTTTTATATTCCGATATTTTTGGTATATTATGCTTTTTAAAAATCACTACTAAAAAGCAAAATTTGAAAAAAATAATAAAAATAAACGCTTGAAAATACTATGGATTATACTACCAACATACCAAATTTCATCAAAATCGGACCACAGGTGTAGTCTGTAGCTCTATACACATCCACACACACAGACATCTGAAAACCACTTTTTTGCGTTCAGGGGGACCCAAAACAGATATATCCACCCAAAACTCAATCTCAAACAATTTGACAAAAATAATACTTTCTCCATATACTATGTAAGGGGAGAGAAAGTAAATGAAACAAAACTTTATTTTGCTCTACCTTATTGAACTGTTTGTAGTCCCAGCCTGTAATAGAGAAGACTATCTCTACACAGACAGACTGCAGTGGAGAGCCGTCTCTACACAGATTAGCCTCTACTGTGGATAACCACGGCATCTTGGGCCACACCTGGTGTATACCCTGCTTGATAAACATCTCCTGCAACAATCATCACATGGATCACTCAGTGATTTAACTAAGCATCTATATAGTTAATACAATAAGGATTTTCTCTGTTACATCCTTTTTTCACCCATCATACTTAACCGAGTCATACGATTTTGGAGTCATTTCAAAGCTTATGATCCAGCGCACCAGCGAATCTATATAAATAAAATTAGAGTTTTGTCTGTACATTGCTTAGAATAATGAACTTTTTGGTTATTTTTACATTTCATAGGTCAGAGAAACCGAATCAAACCTTATCTCAATTTCTGTCTGTCTGTCTGTCTGTCTGTCTGTCTGTCTATCTGTCATTCTCTTGGTAACGCTAAAATACGCACTTTATTACAACTACTCCTCAATAACTATAGCACTGTCCCGCCTGAAACTTATTTTCCAAATACTATACATATATGAGATGGTTTTAGACGTATTTCATCGAATATGAGACAGTTAGATATTTAACAGTAAACCCTTGAAAATCAAGTTTTTGTCGATTTTTGACGTGGAATTTCTGGAAGAATGTTGCTTTGTTTACAACTAATCATATGCACATGGTTTTAATTGAAATACAATCTTAATTTTGACATTGGCATACAGCTGTGATTAGAAAACGTTAGCCTATTTGAACTCAAGGTTAACCATAGCCTTATCGATTCACACAACTTAAAAACCATACGAAATGTATACTATATTATATAACTGAACACCAGTTCTGCTAATTATAACAATGGGTTTTGTACATTTCATCCATTACCGTACAAATAATTAAAATAATAATACATTAATTGGTTAGAAGTAAATTTAATTCAAATTACAGATTCAATACAAAGTATTCAATATAAAAGTTAAACATTTTAGATAACAAAATTACGATCAGCTGATTGTTATTCTTTAATATCTGTGCGCTACTAACCAGCAAACAAACTTGACCAGTTTATTATTGTTCATTACTCTTTACACCAAAATAAAAGTTATAATAGTTAATAATGTCCTAAATTATTTCACGTTTATAAATAAAAGAAAATCTACTCTTCTTTTAATTTATTTTTTTTTGAGGTAATGTTTTTAAAAAAGTTCATATTCCCATATGAATTTGCATCAATCAGATGTTTCATACTGTACAGTAGAGATATTCGTTGAGATAGTGTCAAACACAAATTAAATTTGTTTACAACTAAACATATGGACAATATTTTTGTTGCTTTAGTTGAGAGGTTACAAGTTAATCTTTAATACATTATTTGTTGAAATATTTTCTATTGTTTCTAAATAAATATGTCCTGAAGAGTATGCCTCGCAAGAGAAAAAGCAATTTGGGTAGAAAAACAAATAATGCCAAGAGACAAAAATTGTGTGTATCCACGGAATCAGTTGATTATGATGATTCGGACTCTGATGATGGTGTACATAGCAATAATGAGTCGACAATTTTAAGTTCCGTTGTGGTTGAAGATTATGCACGACCTTCAACCAGTCGAGAGCGTGTCGCCCTATTTAGGTCTCAGCAGAATGAAAAAGAATGTGAAAGCAGGCGAGACACTGAACGTTTAAGATTTAGCCAAAGAATACAAAATGAGACGGAAGAGGAGCGAGAAGCTCGACGGAACAGGGACCGAATACGGCACGTCCAGAGAAAAGAAAATGAGACAGAAGAGGAGCGAGATGCACGTCGGTGCAGCAACCGAATACAGCAAGTTCAGAAGAGGGGAAACGAGACAGAGGTTGAGCGAGAAGCACGTCGGAACAGTGACCGAATACTACACGTTCGGGGGAGGGAAAACGAAACAGAGGAGGAGCAAGAAGCACGTCGGGAGAGTGACCGAATACTACATGTTCAGAGGAGGGAAAACGAGACAGATGAGAAGCGAGAAGCACGTCGGAACAGTGACCGAATAATACACGTAAGGAAGAGGGAAAATGAAACAGAGGAGGAGCAAGAAGCACGTCGGGAGAGTGACCGAAAACTACATGTTCAGAGGAGGGAAAACGAGACAGATGAGGAGCGAGAAGCACGTCGGAACAGTGACCGAATACGACACGTACGGAAGAGGGAAAACGAAACAGAGGAGGAGCAAGAAGCACGTCGGAACAATGACCGAATATTACACGTCCAGAGAAGGGAAAACGAAACAGAGGAGGAGCAAGAAGCACGTCGGGAGAGTGACCGAATACTACATGTTCAAAGGAGGGAAAACGAGACAGTGGAGGAGGGAGGAGCACGTCGAAACAGTGACCGAATCCTACACGTTCGCAGGAGGGAAAATGAAACAAGAGAAGAGAGAGAAAGTAGGCAAGAACGAGATAGAGTTCGGCAAAACCAACGTAGGAATAATGAAACTCCTGAAGAGCGGGAAGCTAGACATATAATCGACAATGATAGGTACCGTCGCACTGTTGAAGAGCAAACTCTACTTTTGCATGACGAGGCGACCCGAGTGGAGGAACTTCGAGCAAGCCAGGACATTGCTGACAGAAATGCCCGTGTTGCCGCTGATTCTGAAAGACATAGGGTGAACAGAGTCGTTGAGAGCGACGCAGAAAGACAAACTAGGATCGCGCGGGAAAGAACTCGGCATGTCGAAAGAAATTTAACAGAATGGCGAGACACACACAACAGTGGATTCCAATATGATCCTTTTACACGTTACAGTGAAGCTGCCAATATTGGAGATTTTGATAAAGTTTGTAGGTTTTGTCACGCTTTGAGTTGGTCAAAGGAACCACGTGGAATATGTTGTGCTTCTGGTAAAGTGTCCATACCGTCTATTTTGGAAGCACCTGAGCCGCTACGTACATGGATATCGGACGAATCACCTCAATCGCGAAATTTTCTTAGACATATCAGGGCCTACAATAGTGCGTTCCAAATGACTTCTTTTGGAGGTAATGAAATCCGTGAAGGACCATATATGCCTACATTTAAGGTTCAAGGACAAGTGTACCATTTGATCGGCTCTCTTTTGCCACCCCCTGGACTTCCGCCGTCTTACCTTCAGATTTACTTTGTTGGGGATGACCAAGTCCAGCTTCAAAGAAGGCAAAGTTTATTTCAAGACCTTGATCATGACATGTTGGCCGCTTTGCAAAACATGCTTCAGAATAATAACGCCTACTTGCTCAGCTTCAAAACTACTTTAGAAACATTTCCTGTAGATTCACCTGATTTCAAAATTGTTATTAGAGCCGACAGACGCCCTGCAGGGGACCACCCAGGTAGATACAATGAACCAACAGTCAATGAGGTTGCTATTTTGATGATTGGGGATCCAAGTGACCATCGAGACATCATTTTAAATTCAAGAGAACAGGGTTTGAAACGAATATATGAAACCCACCGATCTTATGATGCCCTACAATATCCCCTTATGTTTTGTAGAGGCGAAGATGGATATAGTTTCAATTTATATCATGTAAACCCGGTTACTAAACAACCAACCACAAAGAAAACTAGCTCACGAGAGTTTTACGCCTATCGCATTATGGTTAGAGAAGGTGAAGCAAATCACATTCATAAATTCAAACAGCTTTTGAACCAGTACTTGGTGGACATGTACGCTAAAGTTGAGAGTGAAAGGCTGCTGTATCTTCGTACGCACCAAAAGGAACTGAGAGCAGAGAATTACATACACCTTCAAGACGCTTTAAGACGAGACGACAACGTAGAAGAAATGGGGCAAAAGATAATTTTACCTGCCACCTTCACTGGAGGTCCTAGATATATGCATTCTCGCACACAGGACGCCTTTTGCTATGTTCGGAAGTTTGGTCGTCCAGAACTTTTCATAACAATGACAACAAATCCAAAATGGATAGAAATCACGAGTGTAATTGGAGAAAGGCAGTCTGCTCACGACCGGTATGATGTGGTATCACGAGTTTTTCATTTGAAGCTTAACTGTATGATTGCTGTTCTTATGAAAGGCCAGATTTATGGCTCAGTTCGCTGCTACATGTACTCTGTTGAATGGCAGAAACGTGGTCTTCCACACGCTCATATCCTGATTTGGCTTGAAGAATCCATTCCTCCAAATAGAATAGATCAAGTCATTTCTGCAGAGCTTCCAAATCCTGAAACTGATCCTGAACTTGCAGATATAGTCAAGACTCACATGCTGCACGGACCATGCGGAGCTTTTAATGTGCGACAGCGCAAGCTTCCCTGTATGAAGGATGGTCACTGTAGCAAAAGATACCCTAGACCATTTGTCAATGAAACGGCAACAGGAGACAATGGATACCCAACATACAGAAGGCGCTCCCCAGATGATGGAGGCCATCATGTCCTAATCAGAGTAGGTAACGATGAAATCCCTATGGACAACCGATGGGTAGTACCTTACTCGCCTGTATTGTCCCGAACATTTCTAACACATGTTAACGTTGAGTACTGTAGCAGTGTAAAATCTATAAAGTACATCTGCAAGTACATAAACAAGGGCAGTGACCAGGCCACATTTGCAGTAAGTAATGACACAGACGAAATTAAAATGTACCAAAGTGGTCGGTATATATGCACATCTGAGGCGGTATGGAGAATTTTATCATTTCCTATACATGAGAGGTTTCCCGCTGTGTTGCATTTAGAGGTCCACCTTCCAAATGAGCAAAGAGTATATTTCCAGCCAGGCAATGTTCGGGAAAGAATGGACCAAAGTACAACTCTTTTGGCCTTCTTCAATCTCTGCCAGACGGACGCCTTTTCAAGAACCCTCCTCTACAACGAGTTGCCCTATTATTACACATACTCTAAACAAAGAGGTTGGTCCAGGAGGCGGAGAGGACAACCAGTACCAGGACATCCTGACGTGAGACAAGATCCGTGCATCGGTAGGGTGTACACTGTCCATCCAAGCTGCAGTGAGCGTTACCATCTCCGACTCCTCCTACACACTGTTCGAGGTCCAACATCTTTTGAGGATCTCAAGACTGTTGATGGTGTGCTCCATCCAAATTTCCAATCCGCATGCCGTGCCCTTGGTTTACTAGAGGATGAT